TCCAGATTTTTCATTCCTTGTTAGAATTGGGTCCAGTTCAACATTAGGCTAGTTGCAGTCCTAATGTGTATGGGGCCCACATGGCTGTGGGCCATGGGGTGAGTGCAGGGGAGCCAAGAGAGCATGCCCCCTGCCACAAGAGTCCCAGGAGAACCAAGAGCACCAGGAGCTTAGAGAGGGAATTCCTTTTTTTAGTGGATTAAATATTCGAAAGCTTCCCGTGCTGGCAGGGGCCACGCCTACTCTAGCCAATGACCTGTTCCCAGGGATGACTGACAAGTCCCTTCCCTAGGTCACCCAGACTTTACTGGGCATGTGTCTATTCTCTCCCCCTGTCCAGTCCCTTCCCCCAGCGATCTGTCAGGAACAGACCAGTGGCTTCCCGGGGTGTGTTAAACTGCAGCTTCTGGCAAAGCTGCACAAATGGCATGCCTATACTATCGGGCCTTCCCTTTGCTGCTTTCCTGATATAATAACTAGGTTCATTACAACAGTATCATTCTGACACAATCTCTTTTATGTAAGCACATCACACTGATTTTTCGTTCCATGTTGGAATTGGGTCTGGTTTAACATTAGGCTAGTTGCAGTCCTAATGTTTGTGGGCCCACATGGCTGTGGGCCATGGGGTGAGTGCAGGGGAGCCAAGAGAGCATGCCCCCTGCCACAAGAGTCCCAGGAGAACCAAGAGCACCAGGAGCTTAGAGAGGGAATTCCTTTGTTTAGTGGATTAAATATTCCAAAGCTTCCCGTGCTTGCAGGGGCCACGCCTACTCTGGCCAATGACCTGTTCCCAGGGGTGACTGACAAGTCCCTTCCCTAGGTCACCCAGACTTTACTGGGCATGCGTCTATTCTCTCCCCCTGTCCAGTCCCTTCCCCCAGCGATCTGTCAGGAACAGACCAGTGGCTTCCCGGGGTGTGTTAAACTGCAGCTTTGCCAAAATGGCATGCCTATACTATCGGGCCTTCCCTTTGCTGCTTTCCTGATATAATAACTAGGTTCATTACAACAGTATCATTCTGACACAATCTCTTTTATGTAAGCACATCACACTTTGCAGAGAGCACACCTGGAAGAAAATGGAACTAACTTTGTTGAATATCTATTGCTGAGAAGATAAGGTTATCTTACCTAATCCTCCAACAATCCTATCTAATAAAAGGGTAATATGCAAATTAACCATCACTCTGTCACAAAGATGGCAGTGTCCAGTCCTCTCAGCCTTGCGGGAATCCCC